CCCCAAAACCCCAAAACCCCAAAACCCCAAAACCCCAGATAGCTAAATTTTAATTGAATATATTCTTATAGTTAATATTTGCAATATGCAACACCAATTCCAAATCCAGAGTAAGAATAAGGTCAAAGACACCAGAACTCATCTTTCCAGTCGTGCTAAACGAAGAGGTATCAGTTAATTCTGACATCTTAGGCCGAAGTACTAATACATCCTTTATGAGTAAGAGCAAACTGAAAAGTCAACAATCAGTTCATAAACGGAAAGGGTCTGATCACAGTAAGGTCTCGACACATAAGAGAGATGCTACAAGCATTAAGAGTAAGCCCAGTTACCTATGATACTATTTAATTTCTTGTGCCATATTCAAAAGATTTAGTATATCCTAATTTCATTAAGTAGGAGAAAACCAAGTTGATATTTCAGGCAAGGATAACATCAGTACTGATGCCAACATCATGGAAGCACTCAAACTATGAAGTGAAAGCAGAGGAAAGACTGATTTCTACTGGAAACTCCACGAAGTGACTCTGAAGGTCAAAGACTATGTACAAAAGTTTAAACATATCAAAAAGTCTCCCAAGCTAGGCAATCAATTGCAAAGTGCAGGAGGAAATCTTAATTTCTTGCGAACAATGGAATTGAATAGATCATGTACAAAAATGCCATCAACCCTGGCAGTCCCTAAGCTATCAGTGCACAAGAGTAAGTTAATTTTGATAAAAATTCCAACCCCACAAACCCTTAAGTAACTGAAATAACTTGAATTTATTCATAATTTATTGCAAGTCTAATAGAGTCAATATAGACTCTAAGAAGATGATTAGGCGTACTTCCACAGTATTGCAAAGCCCACTGGTCATTTCTCCAAAATTATCTGTGATGCAAAACTCATATAATTTCAGAAAGGAGAAAAATAATAAAATTTCTGAGGTCAACAGTGCATCTAGCATGGTAAGCTTCTTCTTAATCTTTAGTCTGACAAGGAAGAGAAATCAACTGGTGCTGAACGTGAGAAAAAGATGATCAAGTGCCCCTCCTCAAATGCTCTGGATAGTATGATCAACAGCACTTTGCATAAGAAGGTATGACTTTATCATGAATGGTCCTAAAATATGGGGTTTCGTTTGTATTTATTAATATACAGTCAAAGATAAGTAAACCACCTCCTCTTGCAGCAGGCTTAGCCATGAAGAATGCCAGATCTGCCAGTATTTCAATCAACCTCCTGAAGAAGGAGACTTTAGTCACTAACAATCGGAAGCCTATAAAGGCGGTTGATGATTCTAACCTCCAAATAGTAAGATTCTTCATAATGTGTTAGATCTCATCAAAGAAAAGTGAAGCCAAGGTAGTAATAATCTTAAGATCCTTACCATAATTCTTCTTAAGAATAGCACTTATATATGATTTAGTCTGTAGCCAAGAGCAAGTCTGGAAGAAAGAAGAAGGGGAAACACTTCAAGCCACTGCAGCTCAAATCCACTTTTCATCAAAAAAGTAAAAATAAGAAAATTTCAAGTAAACCTAAGTGCAAACTTTATAGGAAACCAATCCCAGCCTGCTGAATTATCTCCTTTAAAAGAGGAGAAGCTGAGCGTAAGAATATTTTTGAGATCTGTAGAAAGAAGGGAAATTACCTCATATAATTACAACAAAAGAAGGTTTTGATGAAGATATCATCAAGGCGTCCCAAGTTGACATCATGAGTATGCTTACGACTAGAAGATCAACAGTGAAGAATAACCAGAAGCAGGTAAATTTCTTCATATAACTCATATAGCAGGAGTTTAAAATATGTTTTTCCAAAAAGACCAGCCAAAACTCTTCTCCGAAGCGCCAGAATTTAAATAAGCTTGTAAATTTAGCTCCAAGTTCATCTCTGATTTCAAGGTTACCAAAGTATACAAAAGAGGGTTTAGGAATGTACACGGCTCCTTCAAATCCGTTTAAGACTCAAAGAGCCTCACTTGGATCATAAGTATAGATTCAGTGGCCCACCAGGGCAGAAAGGACTCAAAAACTCTTAAGATTTCTATAATTATTCTGTGGAATAATTCATATGATGATTTAAGAGACTAAATCAATGAAATCAGTTTATTTTATGCCGAATATGAGCTTTTACAGTGCCAAATAAGCTGAATTTTATTCTATAACCAAACAGCTTATCATTAAAGGGTATTCTTGAAAACTATGCTTCTTAGAAAGCTTGTAGACTAGTCTTCACTCAAAGAGATTATGTTCACTTTGAAACACTTAGAATGACTTATTTTTAGGTTAAAAGTAGAAATACTAGTCGTTAAATTAAGTCCATATACACTAATTCTTAGTTCTTTACTTGGGAGTTCTTATAGTCTGTTTTATTTTTTTAAGTTTAGGCTTTTGCAAAATTAGAGAGCTTAGTTGGGGTTTTGGGGTTTTGGGGTTTTGGGGTTTTGGGG